ATATATATATAGTGTGTGTGTGTGTGTGTGTGTGTGTGAAGATTTTGCCCGGTGAACTGCAGCAACTCGACGTGGCAAATGGACTCAGCAAGTCGTTGGAGTTCCTGTACAGAAATATTGAGCCATGCGTCCTCTATAGCTGCCCATTATTGCCGGTGCAGGATTTTATTAACGAACTCACCTCTCTGTCTCTGTTGCGTCCCATAAATGCCCGACGGGATTGATGTCAGGCTATCTGGGTGGCCAAATCATTCGCTCGAATTGTCCAGAATGATTTTCAAACTGATCGAGAACGGTACGGCGTCTTTGTCATCCATAAAAAAAATCGTTGTTTGGGAACATGAAGTCCATGAATGTCTGCAAATGGTCTCCAAGTAACTGAACACAACCATTTTCAGGCAATGAGTCCAGAGGACCCACTCCATTCCGTGTAAAAACAGCCTACACAATTATGGAGCCACCACCAGCATGCGCAGTGCCTTGTTGACATGGGTCCACGACTTCGTGGGGTCTGCGCCTCACTCCTCCGCTTTCCAGTCGTCTAACTTCCAATCGATATGGTTGGAAGAGCCCGCCCTGGAGACACCCTGCTGGTGATATCGTGCTGTAAGCAAAGGCACTCCAGTCGGTCTCCAACTGCAGAAGACCAGCCAAATTTCGACGCACTATCTTAGGACGGATATGTTCGTCATACGGCCCACATTGATTTCTTCAGTTTTTTAACGCCCTCTTGTTTGTCTGTTGGCAATGATAACTCCAACCAAATGCCGCTGGTCTCGATCATTAAGTGAAGGCCGTGGCCCGCTGCGTTGTCCGTGAGAGGATATAAATACCTGGAATTAGGTATTCTCAGCACACTCTTGACACTGTAGATCACGGAATATTGAATCCCCTAAATATTTCCGAAATATTGTCCCATAGGTGTAGCTCAAACTATCATTCCGAGTTCAAAGCCTTAATTCCCGTCGTGTGGCCATAAACAAGTCAAAAACACTTCCACGAGAATCATTAGAGAAGAAATGGAAGATCAGCATCCTTTTAGATCTTTTGTGGGCGACACTACTACAATCTCTATATTTGCATATTTTTATAGACAGAAAGAGGGAGACACACAGTGAATGTATTAGCGTGTATATGCCTGAAATAAAAACACAATTGTGTATAGTCTACTTGCAATTACTTTTGCTGGGAAGCCTATCCCCACTCCTTTGCCAACATTAACTGAATTCATAATAACTTCTAGCAAGTAGCTTTGTTGACATCTGCAATCCGGGAATACTAATTTCCGTGTACTTAGCATTGAAAAACGAACTACACATTTGATATAATAGTTCTGTCGACCAAGTAATCTAACCCCCAACTCCTTTTGCAAGTTGTGAAATGAGGATTGAAGAAAACTTGTGCAAATAATATTCATCAGGGACCATACTGTTACTCATCATGTAGCACATCAATGTCTGCAAAGTTTTTAATACTTTATAGATTTGTGAATGCACTAGAAAAGGGAAAATATGTCGCCTGGAATGTTGTCCTAAATAAATTGACTTATTTCTTGACTATCTTCATTTTGATCCCTTAAAATCAATAAAAGCATCCCTATATTAAATTATACAGGAATTGGCAGAACTCTATAATACAAACTAACATTAATAGCAACTACAAAATGCATTGGTATGGTCTGAAAGATAAACAATTTAAAACTATAACAGTCTAACTACATCTACTAAATATTTTAAAACTCAATATTATTCACAAGCTGCTCTGGAAAGGGTATTATTTACTTCCACATGGAAAGGATAATGTATTTAAGGGTCTAACAAAAGAAAAAATATTTCAAAAAGGTGAAAATGTTATTTCTTATTTTGTACAACTTGACAATTTGTAAACATTATTCATGAAAAATATTGTTTTTGCTTCTCTAGATCTATTATTATGAAAAATAATTATATAAATACACACTCATACTTGTTTGGTAAGCTATCACATTATTTGAAAAGGAACTAATGTAAGAAAAAAAGCATGTTTAATGTTAGCCTTATTTTTTCCTAATTTCTATGAACATATAAGTCTTAAGTAATTAAATTTAATTTAATGGAATGTAAATTGCAGTTATTTAAGTACAATACAATACGAATGTTTCATTTAATGAAATTTTCGGTTTGCTTTATAAGTCTTTTCTTTATTGTTGTTGTTATTATTATTATTATTATTATTATTATTATTATTATTATTATTATTATTATCTTCTTCTAAGAATATTATATATTTATTGCAGCTCTTATTTAATTAATCAGTTACATGATAACCAAATGCAGACCAAGTAGCGACAAAAAGAGTTCCACATAAGTACATATAAAGACATTTTCAATATTTATTCATACATTAGACTGTTGTAGTTAATTTGTTGATGTTGTTTTACGAGGAAAAAAAATGGTTAGTTATATGTCCAAGAATCAACCACTCACACGTTTCGAATATAATTCATCTCCCTTGGAATTACTAAAAACAAACAATTATTTTCCTCTTGTATGGAACTCGAAGTTGCTTAACCAAATTAGCTAGACTAATTCCAAATTCGCTTCAGTTGAACTCTTTTTTTCTTTAACGTTATTAATGCAATGAATTGTTTGGTACGACATGCAACACCAAGTATTAAAATATTTGGCTAATTTCATTTTCTCATTTCTTAATATTTTTTTTCAACAGTAATAAAAACTAATTCCTTTGCAACTACATTAATTTACAATATTTCACAGACCTTAACAAAAACTCCCCTTTCAAAAAATGAAATTAAACTTCAGTACTTGGAAAAATACTGATTGATTTTCATCTCTCCCTCTCAACTATTTTTTTCTATTCTTTTTTTATTATCCTTTTTAAATCTGTTGAAGAAACTTGAAGCATTTGACTTATTGCAGTTTTCTTTCATGTAAGTGAAAAAAATGTGAATATTGGAATATTAGGGAAGAGCATTTTAATTTCAAAATTGAAATTTAAAATTTCAAGTCGAGTATGAAAAACAAAGTTATAAAAGTCATATTCAGAAAGTCTGAAAATCATAATAGAAAGTTAAGCAGAGCATGTGCATACTTAAAAAAATAAAGAGAGAGATGTTACATCATTAACAAAACATATTTTAAGAGCAAATTGACTCAAAACAAAATTATAAAATTTACATTTAATACTTACTAACTACATATACCTTACAATAAATGTAAATATTATAGTAGAAATGATGCACCCAAGTGGTTTTCCTAACTCTGAAGAACCTCCGTCAGCTGTAGAATCTTGATTTCGAGGTTTTGGTCTGCTCGAGCATACATCACCACAGTCTTCCCCTTCACATATGTCGCACAATGTGGCTTTCTGAGGTTCATAAAACATTCGAGCTCTTCGTGCTAAAGAAAAAGATAAATATAGGTAAAAATGTACTTGTAAGGATGATAATTATTTTATAAAAGGTGTAAATTTAAATTTTGAACAAAATTCAATTTAAAAAAAATTAAATGATCTGTCTCCAATCAATGTTTTAAAATAATAACTATTTTAGAATATTTTAAAGTAATATGACATTTATAATAATTTCAGGAAATGTAAAATTGCTGTGTTTATTAAGCAAACAACTTTTTTGGAAGTATTATATTCATCATTAACAAACTCCAAGGGAGTAAGCAATTGAATAAAGAAGCATTTCACTTAATAAACTTTTTGCCATTAAATATCTTCTTTATTGCTTGCTTTATCTGAAACTGAGATCAGTAGAATCTGATTTTATTTACCATACATATGAATTTGTTTGTTACCAACATGATCACTTACATGAATCATAGTAATCATATATTGTCACTGGAACAGGCTTTTGTTTAGCTACTTTATGAGTCCTGTATGCAGAAACTGTAGGACAGAATTCTTCCTTCATCATCTGAAAAAGAAAAGTATTCAAAATTTGTCAATTAATTGTATCCTCTTCCTCTATTAATACATTTTGACAATTCTTCATTAATAGATATTGTGGTCATAATTATGAAAAATTCTAAATAAAACTGACAGCACTCATATTGATTTAAAAATGTTACTTACGGAAGTTTGGTACATTTTGGTTTGGTTTCATGTACAACTGTTATTTAATGTTTTTATTCAATAGTGTGGATGTGTCTCAGTTTCCGGCATTCAGATAGCTTATGTTTAATGAGTTTATGAAGTTAGTGTATGACTCTGTACTTGTTATATTATTTAAATTAGTGAACTTAGGAGTTTACGTCACTAGGAACTAACTGTGAGTGTTCGAACACTGTCTGATATTGCTTCCTGAGAATTAATTTCGGATATGTTTGTGCTCTGTAAAAAGTAAGGTTATAGGGAAGAAATTTGATTCATCTCTTTGAATAATGGCTTTCACTGAAGTATTAATCCCAGAGGGATGCTATTCACTGGTGAAATTAGCCAAAATATTGCATATTTTCCAGAAATATTTTAGCAGATTTAAATATCCTTTGCCAATGACCAAAAATACAGATTTAAACATCAGGATAATTGTGGTTGAAAGCAGATACAGACTCCTAGAAATATCCGTAAATTGAAACAAAGAGTTTTAAAACATCTCAATCAAAGAAGTAATGAATTCAGACATGAAATGGAAAAAGCAGAGAATGTTTCTTCATTAACAATAAGAAGAACCCTCTGTGAAGATGGATTAATAAAAGCATGGAGGAAAGCAAAACTCATTCCTCTAAAGGCAAAGTAAAGACTAGATTGGACTAAGGGCCCGAAACACTGGTCCTGAAGAGACTGGAATAATGTAGGCATATTTCTCTAATTCTGCATTCAAGATTTATTGTTAAATTTGTATGTTATGATCCTTCACATTTCTAAATGAGTAAATACTAATATTCTTCTAGCTTTAAGCACCATGTCTAGGGGGGGATTTATTCCTCCCATCATATATTACTAACACTTTTATAAGTAAAATTATTTGCCAGTATGTTTGAAGATCATCTGACGAGGAATTTCACCCTCAATGTGTGATGCAAACTGTGAAGCATCCTGTGAAAGTAATAATTTGGGGTTGCATATGTGTGCGTGGTGCTTGTCAGTTGTATATAATTGTACCATTAAATATGACCGATAGTTAGAACTCATAATTATTTGTGCTACAATTAAGTGTCATGTCACATGAAGAAGAAAGTGGTCAAATATTATTTAGGGAAACACTGAACAATCTGTACTACTATAGCCAGCTAACACCCAGACATGAACCCAATTGAAAATATTTGGACACTAGTAAAAAAAAGCTGAATGAATTTAAGATAACAACACATGAAGATCTGGCGATAAAATTGAAGGAAATAATGCTTTTTGATGTCTGGATCGTTTTGCTATATAACTGCACTGATGGCACTGATAACAAAAATGCCAGATATGATCAGCATGCTTAAAATTTTTTTAAAAAATGTTTACTAAATATTAAAATTAATTATTAAGTAACAGAAACCATAGAGTGTGAAAATCAATTAATGGATTCAAACCCTAAGTCTTGAGTCTAATAATTAATTAACACACCTCTATGTGTGGAGGTATTATAGATACATTGGCAATAGAAATATAACAATCTAAAGTAGTTTCATCTCAAAAATAATATGTATTTGTTCATCTCATTGATTTGTAAATAAACAAAGTACATAGAAGTCATATGCAGACCATATGAGTATTCTATTTCTGTACATTGAACAGAAAATTTTGAAAATACCTCAGTGGCTTCATGTAAAGAATCCCAAAAAATTAAAGTAACTTAATGATCTCTGGAACGGCACATCTAGTTCTTACACCTGGTGTAATTAGCAAGTTTCAGCACAAAAGCTTCGAATCTGAGACGAGTTGCACAAGAATCCTACTTCCGTTCACAGATTTGTTTTTGATACAAAATGTACCTCCTCTCCATCTACAAATTTTATCTATCTTAATAACAGTATAAAAGATCTTAATCCTGAAGTGTGTACGAAGTCACAACTCATAAGAATCTTAAACCAATATTTTAGGACTGAAAATTCAAGAATGAATAGTTGAGATGATTCCAATACTTTTCCTCTCCTTAATTTTTTTCCAAAAAAAATTTAAAATGTTATTACCAGTAACAAAAAAGTGCTAAAAGAGGCTTCATAAAGTACTAAAACATTGACTTCAAAAAGTGTTACTGTTTTATTCCTGAACTTAACTCAAGAGCCACACTATTACTATTATCAATAATAACATGCAGCAACTGTTCAGTAAATTATTGTAGACCCTGCAAACAATAAATAATAGAAGTGAAAGTATGTGAGAGAGAGGGAGAGAGAGAGACTGAGTGAGAGTGTGACACAGAGAGAGAGACAGAGTGAGAGTGTGACACAGAGAGAGAGTGTGATGTAGAGGGAAAGAGAGAGGGAGGGAGAGAGTGAGTGAGCGAGCGAGTGTACGATCTTGGCTGTCCAGGTTGAGCCCTGCATCTGTGTTGTGGTGGCTAATTCTTCAGCCAACATATTGCCATCTTCCTCATAGCAGATGTGTTGCAAAACATCAGCCACCATGACACAGACCTGGATCATCCTGGACAGCCAAGTTCATACAAACTAGCCACAGAAGTCTATGCAAATCATATCCAGTGAGTGAATGATATTGCAAATAAATACAGTAACTTAAATAAAGTAACATCATAAAGAAGCACACTAATATTTATATCTTTACAAGAAATTATGAAAATAAGTATAATGAAGTAAAATACTTACTTTATCAAAATACATCATTACTACTGTGTCACCGTCCTTAGTTTCTACTCTTTTGACATTCTGTGATACTCTTAAACTTGGAAGAAAATCTCTGTCAACAGTGAACCCTGATGGCAATGTAACTTCCATGACAGCCATATTGCTTTCGTTGCCATCTTTACTACCAACAAAACTGTAAGAACAATCAGCAAATGAATGTTACAAAATAGAAATAATTGTCACTACTGCCATTTTTCAGCTTTCCTTCACATTTCAAATATATTGCAACCCAAGCAGAATTTGAAGTCTTACCCAGAACAAATAGTAAGTTGCAGATGATTATGATCAGAATTCTTATCCACCTGAGGATCAAGGGTAAATCTTGGCCAAGCTCCGGTCACATTTACATTGTATTGGTAAGACACCTGAATCACAGCAAATCCAGTCCCTGTGGCTGATATTTCTATTTCACGAACTTTGGGAGACACCTAATTAGACATTACAATTGCACATTTGAACATGGTAGAACTATTAACATTCAAATATCTTAATTCAGTATAAAGCAACTGATATATAATCAATACTACATCTGTCCTATAAGAATAAAAAGTTACTTACTTCATGTTTTTGTAATATCATTAAATTTCCATTGTTTATATTGATGTTAGCCAAAACACTACTTCCTTGATTAAATGTCAAGGTCATACTGGTAGAATCAGAAACAATTTGTTCTGCTAATTTTGCTAAAGCAGTCAATCCAATAACAGTGTCCTGTTGAAATAACATTTATTGAAATAATCATCAAGTGAAATCAAACTTGCAAAATCTAGCTCACAATCAGAGGAACATCAAAAATTTACCTGTGTTGAAGCAAATCCTCCAGCATCATTCCTTTGAGATACAAGCCACCTCATTATTGGAAGACTGTCTTGTATTAAACCTCTTTTAAGGTAGGAAAGAAGGGCATAAGATGTCATTTCAATGTTTACTGAGTTTGGCAAGTTATTCCATGGATTTCCTGGATCAGAATCCACTTTGTTCCACCATTTCATATTCGCTGTTCAGAAAGTAAAATGTGACTAATTAATTGCAAGAAGTTTAATAAAAATTTAACTTACAATTTGAAGTTTTACTTACATGTTGTGTTGGCTTTGCTCTCAAGTAAATTAAAAGCAAGAGTCTTTGATGTGTGATCAGCCAAGTGAAGTGCATATGTGCAAATGGAAATGGCATAAACATCCTCTAGGCCATTTAAGTTTTTGACCACATAATCCAAAGCTTTATTGATTGTATTGCGATACAGTGATGTAGAATTCTGCACAAAACAGGAAGAAATTATACTTTAAATAAGAGGGTTATTGGTAGTCTAATTTTCATAGATTAATCTTAACTTTGCCAGACAAACATTACAAAAAGATTGAGTAAGTCACCAAAGATAGTTGTTATCAACATTGTTCTAGTAATATTGTGGCATATTTAATTATCTTATTTGCCTCAAAAGCTGAGGTATCAAATTTAAAATATTTCTTTCTATTTGTTATTAAATGTAATTAACCACTATTGTAAAATCAATACCTAACAATTATTATTTTGTGATCATGAAATTTAGAAGGTCCCATTCAGAATATTTACCTTATTCTCTAGGAATGCAATGAGTGTATATGCTGTCAGAGCCACCCCGTTGGCGGCCCCTCCCTGCATGTCCTTGTGGCTGACTTTGCCCACTTCCGGAAAGCTTCCATTGGCTGCCTGGTTGTTCGCCAACCACTGAAGAGCCTCGTGGATAATTCTTTCCTCAACAGTGATGTAAGGCATTGCTTGGTGGAAAGATTTGGCCACAAACGCTGTTAACCTGAAATATGTCAATGAGTTAAAAAATGTGGTGTTAAGCAACACAAACACTGTTTAAAAAGAGGTATTTTTTACCATGTACTGCCATGATTGTCATTATTTCCAAATGCGCTAAATGAACCATCTTCTCTACGGTATGTTAATTCCTGTTGATATCCAGTCTCCATGTACCGAGTGGCTTTGTGTTCCACTGCAGGGGTCAATTGTCTGGTATTCTGTTCACATAAGTAAATAACACATTAATTAAATTTTCATTTTTGTTACCCTTATTTTTACTGTTAAACCAAGGCTTCTTTGGTGCTTCCAAGCACGCAACTCAATTGCTCTGCACAGCATTCAGTGGTAGAAAATGGTCTCACAGCAGGACAGATGCAAAACTCTTGTAATTCACCAGGAAAATCATGTGATCTCTGTCACCTCTCAACCCTCCTCAACCACTCAATAAGTGCACATCAGATGTCTGTGGAAGGCAGAATTGCATGCCCAGAATGGGCAAACAAGTTTACCTCTCAGAAACAAAAGTTTTTGATGGCAAGTTGCCTGTACCAAACTTACTCTAATAGCAATAGAAATCTATATTTTTTGTCAGAATAATTAAGAGACACTTGAATATACATAATATAAGAAAGAAAGAAAGATACAAGGAATATACTTACACGTAAATAATCAATAACCACAATATTTGGTACGAAGTTGAGCATATTCTGTTCCCCACATCCAAAAGGCATTTTTATTAGATTGGCAAGGTTGGGTATGCTAGGTCCAAGAATGTCTCCTAAAATACGATATATTAGTTATCATTTGCAGTCATTTTCAAATTTTAATATCATTTAAAATAATTTTAACAACTCCAGTACTCCAGAAGTACACTTACCTGCTGCAGATATCTGTACTTTTTCAGACTCAGGGACAAAATACTTCGGAAAATTTAGTGAAATGTTGGTTTTAAAAGTACTTGCACTCCTTAGGTCCACAAAAATAGCTTTATTCTCAAACTGAGTTTCTCCTTCAGGCTGCAAAACATTAAACAATCAAAGAAGTAAAATATCTTCATTTTTTGTTGTTGTTGAAATACCTCTTTTTTTATATTCTCACCTTTACAAGAAGCTTTCTTTCCACACCATCTCTAGCACGACTAGTGACTGCTGTCACTTTGATATTAATATATCCAAGTTTTCTTGGTGTGATCATAAAAGACACAGAAGCTCCACTATTAGCTTTGACAAGTAACTTCTTTGTGCGGAATACTTCCAATTCTGGATTAAAATAGAAGAATTTTGTACAATATATTTTAGAAAACACTAAATTATGAAAAATATGATTATCTTCATACTTGACTGTGCTTCCACATCATTTGAGATTTCAGCAAAATCAAAATTTTCAAGCCCATCATTCAGTAAAGTCACATCTGCAGAAAGATCTTTGTTCATGTAGTTAAAGACAACAATTGGAATGGCAACAATTTCTCCTCTGATTACTGAGTATGGCAAATCCAGAGAAACAAAGAAAGGGCGAAACACTCGTATCTTTAAAAAAGAAAAGGAAAGGAATTTTTATTTTTATTTCTCCATACAAAATGAATGTATTTAATTAAAGAATTAATTATAATTATACATCAATTTCAATTTTATACCTTCCTTGGTTCTTCTATCAATCCAAGTCCATATATGGGGTCAATAGAAAATGCACTTAGGACCCAAGAAGTTATGGTGTCTGGCACTTCACTCTTTAGAGAAGCCTTGCCATCAGATCTGAGCAAAGGAAACAAACTCATTCATTTTTGATTGTTTTTCGTCCTAAATGTTTATTCTCTTAAGTAAATGGTCAAGGTAGAGTAGAATAAACGATTCATTACCACAAAAGGGGCTAAATATCATGTAATTCTATTAGAATTGTCAATTTACTTGTCATTCAATACAGGGCACAGCATACACACAGATAAAGAAAGTGCCATGAACTGTTCAAAAATGGTGCATTCATTTATAACTATTGGTAGTATCTGAATTTTCACGATTTGTATGAAAATGCAAGGTGATACCACAGTCAACTTGAAATGAGCTGCACACCTCACGAAGTAGTACAAGTGAATTTTCATTGCCATTAGTGGCCTCTTCTTGAATCCACTTTGAATATAGTGACCGACGTACACAGACTAAAAAGCGTTTGGGGGGTTGCAGCTACATTTCTGGGCACCCTTGTCTTTAAACTTTTTACTTACATATGACACCTTATTTTACTGGAAAATAAATAAAACATATTTCAAGGAGAGTGAAATTATAATGTGTCCAATCCAATTAATGAATGCAAATGATTTTATGCTGAAGCATTTGCAGGGTTGACAGATGGCATGGAGAACCTCTTATTAAAATGTCCTAAAAATTCCCCAAACTTTTGGTTAAAAAAGGAGGATATTGAAAGAATGGGACACATTTATGGACATAACATAAAGCGATGGTGAACCTTTAGAGGGTAATTTTCAGGAGGGCCACAGCCCCCTTCTCCCCCGCTGAGCACATGCACATGTATATAGACCATTTCAGGTGGTAAAAACTCATCACCATCTTCTCCACAATTAGATGAACAAATGTTTTTTAAGTTGTTTTACTGAGAAATGCTTCATTACTGCACAGCAGTTTCTTGAAAATTTCTCTTCATCTATAACATCCAGAAGGTTGTGCTTGATGAAGCTCTAAGGAGAGTTTGAAGTATTGCCAAAGAAAAAATCGACTTTTTGTGGGTACAATATAAGAAATATGCAAATTTGTGACCTGATGGAATCAGGATGCATGTTACAGCAGCACTATATCACATACACCCCGATTGTGCCATGCCCTGCAATCGTGTCTGATTTTAGGCAGGCAGAACCTTAGTTCCTATTCCACTGTTCTCATTGTTTGTAAATGACATTAATGACCTTCTGAGCCCATAATAGTGTTTTGAATCTTGGAAATGCACACAAAATTCCTACGCCATACAGGCTGGGTGAAATTGGCAAATTACAAAACAACACTTTCTATGGTAATCTCTGCTTCTGAGGCCAAAATGGTAGAGGAATTATTTATTGCTAATATTGTGAGATGGTGTGATTTTTTTGTCACCCAAAATGATTTATTTGCTATAGTGAAAGCTATTTCCTCTTCCACATAGAAGCAAATAATCTCAATTTTGCGCAAAAGTCTGATATCATTATTTACATCTACATGTCTCATTTGATACACAACAAATAACAAATAATTTTCTTATTCATATTCAATAATAATTTGTCATATTAATTTCTGATCAAAATTAAGATCATGAAAAATAAAGAAATGTGTTACATTAACGAGATGCATTGCATTTATCAAGAGAATTACAAAAATAATTTCCTCAAAGACCTAAAAGGAAATTTGTTTACATTTCAAGATAACACATTTTCTTTTAACTTATTTATGTGACTCATATTGCTGCAGCATTATAATGCCTTTATGTTGATAGAATTCGTCATGTTCATGACGTATTCTATTCATCATTAACCATCATTAATCATCATCATTAACATTAGAAAAACAATATTTTGAGTATCAACTTAAAATTTCAAAATTACAAGAACAATGCCGTTTTGTTCCACCAAATTTCCAAGAGAAACTTTTACTTTATTGTTTCACTTTTTAGACTTTTCAAACTAACTTACCATGTTCCTTCTATTAATACTGTCAATGCAATTAATCTCCCCCTTTTCATTAATACTCTAATGTAAATCAACTGAAGGTGCTACTCCAGATTGCTGGCATTGTTACGACAAATGATATAATGATGAATTTGGCCAAAGGGAATTAATTGCTTAAATGTTAGTCAGTAGGGCATTTGTTATGTTTATTTATTCAACATCTCTTTCTTCACTCAAAAATCCATTGCTCTCAACCTAGATCAGAGAGCTCACTGGAGTACCAAACTTAAGTTTATTACCTAGAGATGAATTGAAAAAATGACTGTAAACAATCTAATATAGCACTGTCTTTCTGAATGTATCCTTACATGCATGCACTAGCAGTAATTGGACAAAAAGACACTGATATCATAAAGATAGGATGAACTTCAAAAATGCTTGCTGAACAATGTATAAATCACTATAAGAATTATATTTATACAAATCTTCAATCTACTTTCTACAAAGACAATAAAATATGAAGAGCTCAGATCCATACCCTGAAGAAAGGTTGGTGAAAAGCCAAGTGGAGGCTGGGTCATGCAGGAGGAAAACGCGGGGCGCGGTCCACACAGGAGGGGGGATGCGTGAGAAGGCAAAGGGGCCTGCGAGCGGAGGGCGAGTCACAGGTCTGATAGTCACCGGTGGCCCCAGATCTGGCTTCACAGTGGATGGACCAGATACAGGATCAGTGCGATAGAGAACTCGGTTTTGTCCATTCGAATTCTGATCATAACGAGAACCTGCAAGGTAATTGCTCAAATCAGAAGGTTCTTCACTTCATGATTAGTGTACTAATATTGATGATTTCATCTCATTATCTTTATTAATCATATATCTTTATTAATTGAATTCATATAATTCTGTACATTCATGCATGCATCAGAGCAGAATTATTGTCGCATACCAATGGAGGGGGAGAGTCAATGACAGACTTCAGCATAGCTTCTTCTGTGTAAGGAGTTACTGTTTCATTGTTTAGGACTTTTATTATAAGCATATTTAATATATATAAAGAGCCTTTCTGAACCCTTACTGATAATTTCATCTTTCATCGCTCATTAAATTTAATTTTTTAAAAATCTTTTAAATAAATTTTAAACCATTGTTTTGCATAATTGCATAGAGGAAACTCCCATGTCCTCTTAGAGCCAGGCCAGCTCATAATCATGTCCAATTCTTATTTTGGTGTCTGACAATGTAAAGAAGAGTTGTGCAATCAGAGCATCACAGTGAATGTTGAACTAGTTCTTCAAAACAAAAACTTGGCCATCTGGTGACCCAGACTTGCCACCTGGATACCGCACATACACAAAATTCAAATGTATATACTCTTGCCATACTTCAAAAACTGAAAAATATTTTTTAACACAAAACCGAGGAAGGGATTTTCACATCCTTCTAAATATATGTATTGTTACTTCTCAAGCATATACAATTTTCCTTTAATTATATTGCAATGTATTCTGGAGTCAGGTCATTAAGCCCTCTCCCCAATCTCGATCAGGTTTTCGTCCAGTTTCCCTGATCCATTGAGCAAATGCTGCAATGGACTCTTGTTTTGCTTCTGGATGTAAATGTAGTTTCACTGTGCATGTTTTGTTCAACTCTCCTTTGGCTTATAGTAGAGATAAGGCAAGTTACTATTTTGTTAGTAATGCAGAAAATGAAATCGGCAGTTTGTTTACCGTTGCAAATAAGTTTTCTGTAACTCGGGAACGAAAATGTCTAGTTTTTCAAATGTTGCTAATCTTATGCTATTTTTAATTTTATTTTTATTTATTTATTTATTCATATATTTGTTTATTCGTTTATTCGTTCATTCATTTAATCATTATTCAGTTATTCATGATTCATTTATTCATTCATTCATTTATCTTTAACTTTTACTTATCTTTCAACTATTTATAGTTAAAACAATGGAAGGGATTGTGGAACACAAGAAAATGTGCACAGATCACCTCTTCCCTTACATGTCACATAGTTTTTTTACTGTTTTCTGACTAAATAATTGTAAATAAATCCTTGGTCTCCAGGTACCTGAATGGCATTGGTATGCGACTTTTAATGACATTTATTAAAAATAAATATTTCCCTGCACCATTAACGTTAGAGGTACTTCACACATATTGAACAAGAAATTACCCTACCACCACATTTCTTACACATACTGTACATACATTGTTAATAACATGAGTAAGGAGTGCAGAAAAACTAACAGTAAGCAAACAAACAGTGTGACGGTGTTGCTAGGTGAATTGCTAGCGACTAAAACGGCACTAAATTTTTTTAGGTAGACATTGAAAAATGCATTAAAAATTGCCTCCAAAAAAAAAAAAAAAAAAAAAAGATTACATTTCCCTGCACTTGCATCTAAAAATAGCCAAAAAAAAACACCAATACCAAAAAACAATATAACATGAGAGAATGGACTATTAACGAATCATTAGTAAGAGGGAGACTGGCATCTTTACAGGATTGAGCTCGGTTACTATGGTTAAAGGCACTGAAGTTCTTTGCGTGGAGCACAACTCAGACAGATGCGGGCAGAACGAAGACATGCCTCACACCTGGCAGAAATGGGCTTACACTGCGCACTCCCCAGAAGAACATCTGGCACGAAAAGACATCAATGTCGAAATTGGGGATAATCTCCTTGCCCTCTGAGACACAAGGTTTTTGATTACATCTCAAATCTGTGCTCAGCGCTCACGTAAGCACCCACTGCTCAACCAAGTGTCCAGTAACTGTTTCTAATTTTATTTTACTTGGGCACAGAAATGCGAAAAAAGAAATCTGAAGCGACAATGCAAGCTTTTCTGTTCTAAGAATTCAGTGACCTACAAGCCCAAATGACAGCTTCAGTCAAGAAAATTGGAGACTCATTATCTGGAGAAAATTTAAGCGATTAGTAGAACTTTCCTTAACATTTTCCTAAACATCTGATGCCTAGTGATCATCTAGAAACCCCCTGTAACTAATGGCGCAGACAGTGATGATATATACCTCCTTAGTCTATGGCGCAGAGCCCTTGGCAGAAGGGATAAATGGCAATGACCGACTACAACTGACCATTATTGACTCGGTTAAAGAAGGACTGCTTCGTAGATCCGTTCAACGCCAGTAAAGGGTTTACAGAACATTGTTAAAAAAGAAGTGATAGAACTTAAAAAGCATAACAATAGAGAAAGCATACAATCAAAAAGAAAAGAAATCAGAATGATTATTACAGTACATCTGATTCATCCATTTGGTGAAAATTCATCTTTTGAATATCTCATAACGAATTGAAGAAAGAAAAAACACTTAAAAAAAATAGCAGACTCCTGCTCAGTTTTCGAATTATCCCACCCCTAAATAATTCCCAATATATTTGACAATTTAATACTTGATTGCTTCACTCAAAATATCATAAGAGTTGAAACTTTGAATGTAAACACCGTGATAATAATCTACTATAGAATACTACTATAGAATTATACAAAAGTTATTGTCATCATTATTATTATTGTTGTCCTTAAAGATTGAACCTTCAATCCATTCCAACAGATAACATTTCACTTTGGCAGCTTTCTTCTCATTCATAATTGTACCTTGATCAACTGACATTCCCCATTAATGCTAATATTTATTCTTCATAATATCTCCTTTTTCCAGTTATGTACAAGCAGTAAAATTCATAAAGCAATACAATTCATTTGACATCTCTTTTGAAGTTTGGCAGAGAAGTTTTCCCCAAAATATTTCCGTGGCCTTCCATTTTGTTTGGTCTATTCAATTTGTTTTACCTACAATGGTATTATTTTTTTAGATACAACAAGTTTTTTCATTAAATCAATTTATTTAACAATCAATATATCTGCCAGAAGACAACACATAAACACTACCGAAACCTTCAAAATTCTTCATAACCTCTGTGACCGCCCTGAACTAACCAACTTCTATACTAGACCTATCAAGTAAAACTTGGACACAATATAAAATTGAAGGGAGCCAAGTTTAGACATATTAACCATGAGAAAATCCTCACTAGACAGGTAGGGGATCTTTGGAACTGGCTCCCGTAGAACTGTAGAATTTAACTTCAGCCACCAGTGTACACAAGTTTAAACCACTTTATAATTGACTCAAAAACCAATGTTAGTACATTGTCATTGTGTTGAAATTGTATTACATAAGCAATGTATTATTATGCTAATTATAATTTCTTACAATCTACTTTTACAATTATATTGATTGGGGCATAATCAGTTTCGCTGCTGTCCTACATATCTATAAGTAAATAAAAATATGAAGATATTCTATTTCCAACAAATTGAAAATAAAAAACTGGACCATTTCCCAAGTTACATAATTTTTGTAAATCATCAGTCAAAAAATACAATGAAGTTACACTATTTGGGCCTGAACAAGCTCAAATAAAAAAAAATTAAAGAATTTCAAACACGTAAGCTGAACCTATTTATTTTGGCATAAAGAAGCTGCTTAACTTTCAAAATAAAATTTCACTTATATGAAATTATGAACAAGTATCTTCACGATTTCACGATGCTCTTTGTGCCTTTAAGTTGTATTTTTTTCTCTGTAGCAGTTGCAGGTCTCAAAAAGTGCAGACTCTAAATTAGTTACCTTTACAGTCCCTCTATTAACTACAGAAGTTTTTTGTTTCGTCTCTCACTCTTTTCATAGACTAACTACAATACAATATTTTATTTAAAGAAGGCATTTTTATTGTTCCAACACCATAATAGATAGTAAATTTCAATTTTTGATAAATATTTTAATACTTTAAGCGTAAGCAAAGAAGGAAAGTAAACACGTTGATTTTTTTAAAATTATTACAGATATTGGGTAAATCCAGGATCACCACATGCAGGAGTGCAGAGGTATAATTATGAGAAGTGCATTTCAGAAAAAAGTTTTTCTAACCAATTCTCCATTTCATCAATTTTTTTTTTCAATTACACATCATTCATTATGTGAACTAACAACAATGTAATTGTAAGAATCCATGAACAATGTAGTTTCGGTCTTTCAGGACATCTTTCACTTCTTCTTCTGCATGTGACTGAGCTACGTCTCTGACAAAATTTGCTGGTTTCTGATGTTCTTAGATTAATAAACAAAAATATGCACCCTCTTTTTATGTAAACAATAATAATCATGGTGTACTTATTTCAAAATATAATTATGAAACACCTACTTATAAAATGTATACTGTTCTCAATTTTTCGGTTTTGTTGAAGATTTTATCAACTACTAAAAGCACATAATATAATGACAATCACATTAAAGCAAAGGCATTCTATTTTATTCTATCTTACTGCTATTACAGTAATTTTCACACAGAAAACTGCCTACCCAGTGTCTAGCGCATCCCACAGCCACGTCTCAGGAAAATGTTGTCGGATTTTAATGCCTGACTCCATCACACCTCCCAATCCCATCGCACTAAAAGCAGGGACAGGCGCAGCGGAAAGGTCAGAATACAGCTCATCCCCAAAGTTAGACCTGTAGTACACTAATGAAATACAATTTAGTCAGCAAAGCAATTATAATAAAATTGTTAACAACCACAAACCCTGTGATTTTTACTCAACATGCATAATTAATGATGTTGAAAGCATGTATTAGCTTTTACAAAATATAACAATAAAAAATCAATGCATTAATTTCTGACCAATGAGCAATTACAAAAAAAAATGTTTAAGAAAGCTCATAATTGGTCCAACTGATGCTTATTCAAATAAACTAAAAGAATTTTAGGCACAAATCAATTGGACTTTGGTAATTTAGCCTTTTCAACATTGAATCTCAAAACATTATTGACAACAGAATAGCAATTATGCTCATATTAAATCTTTAAATACTTTTATGAACGATTTTCAAGTAAAAACAAAACAAAACAACTTTACAATCTGTTGTCTAACAAAAACTACAGATATGGGAGCATAACTAATTTTCAGTTTTACTCATTTTAACAAATCCCTTTTCATGTCAAGGTTGAATACTCTACAATTAAAAATAAATTTCTATAGAAATAAATTATAAATTAAAATCTTAATAATCTGACTTACCGACAGGAGAATAATCAAAAACATGTCCATTTGTTAAAATAACTGTTCCAGACCTCTGCAAAAAACATTTATAAAATTTTATATTTACAATATGAATGATAAATAAATAATACAATAAACTAACAGTGCTAAAATAACATGATAACTAAAATAACTTTTTTGCATCAATACTGGTTATGTAAAATTATAATATCATAATTTCAGTCCATATTAACACTCAACCGTCAACTCCAATATATATGAACCGTCACTTGCAATACACATTACCAATCATAGCATGTTAAAAGCAAATATTTCATTCATTTCAAAGTAATACATAAGGAGTCTTCAAGTACAATTTTCAAAATAAAAATCTGAGAACCAATATCACAGAGTTGCCACTCTATTGCCTTGTTTCTTGTTGATGTTGTTGTTAGTGTTAATGTGTGTTCATGGCAGGCTGGTTTTTGATGCATCATGCCTTGTAATGCATAATAAATATAAGGAAAGCATCACTTACATCAAATACTTCATGCGCTGTGGAAGATCCTGGCCACCAGAATAACGATCTTTTAAATCTGTTTCTTCCAATGAAATCAGGAAGATAATATGATCGACCTGAATCATAGCTTCGCAACTCTTCCAAGACATCTTTCTGTAATTCAATGATCTTTTATATTTATTTTGATAAAAAAAACCTTCCAGTAGATTAATATTTAAGTGATTTAATTTCTACAAAAGCATGTCGTTCAATTTTGTGTTACAAAATAAAAAAAATATATTGTTATAATCACTGTTCAATTCAAAACAGAAAATTATTTATAAATATAAATTATATAATATTAATTATAATAGTATTTTAATATTTATTACAAAGAGTTCTTTAATACTATTATTACATGATGTTAATAAAGGACCATAGATTTATTTGATACAATAGTCTAGGTATTTAATTTAAATTATTATCCAGAAACAGTAAAAATTATTTGTGATGTACAAAGGATAAGTACATATAAGTTTTGGGATAATACACATGAGTTTTGGGCTTGAAAATTTCTACCCATTACTATACATTTCGGAATGAAGAATCAAGGAACTAACAAGTTTCTTGGTTAAATACTTAAAATGTTCATTCTCAGCAAATGATTTTAGTACAGATTTGATTTTATACAATTGCTGATATGACAAAATAACTATAACCACAATTTCATCCCACTCCTCCTGCAAGCAACAAAACTAGAGCTCAACAAAATATGCGCAGATAGTGAAGCTTCATTTATGTTCAGAAAAAAAGCAAGGGACCATCTCAGCATTTGCTCACTGGATCAAAGAAACAGGCCACAATCCTGACTGAGAAGGAGTCTTTGACCTAGAATTTGTGTTTCTTTTTTAAAAGTATATAATACAAATGGTAAACAATGGTAATGCATAATGCATAAATGCATTAATATCTGTATTAAATGTATGCACAGACAAAAACCTCTATGTAATCCTCTGCACATAATACCTTTCGTTCTGTATTCACTACATACCTCTCTTTCTCACATTTCATTTTCTTTTTTTCCTTTCCTTACTTCCTTTTAATCCTTTCACATCCCGTTACCTTCCCCCTTCTCCCCCCCCCCCTCCCCCAGCAATATCTCCTGGATATTTGCTTCAGCCTCCCATTGTTCTTAGCCTCATTTGCTCAAATCTCAGATGAAAGGTATGTCCAAATATGGTGTGGGTTTTACTGACATAATTTCCATAATGAGCATTAGCGCACATAATCCTAAATCAAAAATATTCTTACAACTATTTAGGTGAGTACTCTTGGATTTACACTTGGTACTGCTCTTCTTCATTTTAAGACCGCTTTTATGTTTTTGGTACTTTATTGTTAACTTTTAATTTTGCCTATTGTGATTTCATCTGTTTCAACATTGTTTATCACATTTTAATTATTACGATGCACTTGTTTTGAACTATTTTGTTTTATCCTTTCCTTTTAAAACCTTGTTTCAAAAATATGTTAGCAAATGTTTTTACTTTTAAAGCAGCTGATGTTAATGCAAAAAATCTGTTTGTGAAACATGCACTTGACATGTTTAATGAATCAATCAATAACAAATAAATGGTTTCAATTTTGACTGTCATTAAAAATAAAGAAAAACCTTACCAATATGATTATTATTAATTATTATTCTCATTATTATTAGTATTAATACTAAACAAATCAAATATGTAATTTATTTACCGATGAAAATAAGTTTTCTATAACACTATAATATAGGAGCGAACAAGTCTATGTTTCAAATGTTGCAAACCTCCCTTGGTTGGTACTTTTATTCATCATTCAACTATGTATAGTAAAAAAATGGAAGAGATTCTGGAGGTCAAGAAAACATGGGCAAACGTCTCCCCCATATATCACACACAGTTTTTACTGTTCTTTGATAAAAATAAATCAAATCAAATCAAAATATATGAACCAATTTTAATCATTTAGTGTCATGTGTTTCTAAATGAAATGAAACCATGAAATGTAGATACTTTTTTCTGAGATGACACTACACAACTAAAATTAAAAGTAGATAACTAATTCCAAACTTTGAATACACTTTCGAATGTCATATCTATTTCACAATTAAGTTCAATAATATAGTTAATACAACATTTAATCAAGTATGACAATATGATCTTACCCGAGTAATATCATTTCCTGAACGCAGTAATAAAACACTTTGATCGATGCCCAGAAGCCCAATATATGAATTTGGTTTTGCTTCAATTTTCAAATCAATTGCTCCACCAGGTTGCGTTTCTTGAGGGTTTGATTCAACATTTACCTGAAATTTTCACATTCAATTGAATTAGTATTTAGGACTAATTCTACTCACCATTTTTAAGAAACAATCAAAATGTAAACTTACAAAATTTTGAAGCATTCCATCAATTTCTATATCAATAGCATCAGCAACAACTTCACCATCATCTTTTAGATATGAAACGATTACATGGGCTGTTGGTGCCATAGCATATGTAGCCAGGAATCGTGCTTGATAAGTATTTCTACCATTTGTGGTAATTGTTTTAGACACAATGATATCACCACGCCCCACTACTTGATACATGAAGTACTTTAAAGATGCTGTTGAATTTACTTCAATAACCACATCTTCTCCAACCTTAAAATTCAGTTACAAATGCGTTTGAATAATAATATAATGTATTATATTTGCACACCAAACCTTTTAAATGTAAAATAATTTGCTGCAAAGAGTACCTTTGGTTTATCAGTCTTCACAATAACCTGAATGAAAGTATCACTTGGAGACATTGCAGCACTAATGGTTGAAAACCATTCTTTCAAATCCAAATATTCAGCCTGAAATTAATATAATAATGTAAACTCTAATCAATTAATAAAATACAATACTTTTCACAATTGTTTCTCATTGATTACCTCTATTCCAAGAGAGACTGTCTGATTGGCTGAGAGTGGAGGGTAGAAGTTAAGTTCTATGATTCCATTCTTTGGAAGATTGTGACTTTCTTCTGTATACTGTTCAGGATCACCAGTGAAACCATATCTAATCTTTACAGGGTTTCTTTCATCTTGTACAGGAGTATCATCATGGTGGGCAAGCTTAACCTATTAAAAATATCAAATAACCATTTTTTATTTGCAGTTCAATTACAACACTTGCAGAGCCGATTTTCTGGGTGAATGCTTGGGAAATGTACCAATGAACAATTGAAAGCTCACAAAATAAAACAAACATAGCGCTAGTAATTTCAAAGGACCAGAAATTCAAATGTCTGTGACATTATTAGCAAAAGAGGTAAATAATATAATATAATATTTCATTTTCATTGATGGTAGTTCACTTTCGTCTAAATCTTTAATATTAATTCTAGATATTTGATACAATATGAATTACTTGATAACATTAAAAAACATGATAAAAGAAGGTTATGTTGTCATCATTGCAGTTATGTTTGGTATGTGTAGGCAAAATGTCAGTCAGAAAGTGACATAATTTTTCTCCAGAAAATCAGCAATGACTGGTAGTATAAAAGAATTACTTGACACTTACAAATGCTGTGTATTTAAGCCCTGGTTTGAAGTAATCTGATGTTTTTACTAGTTCCATTTTATACTTGTGTTTATGCAAAACAATTTGAGCAGAATTGTTCTGACGTCTTCCAGTCAATTCTTCTTCCACAGCAACATCAAGCTGAATTGTTCTCTCAAAATCATCTTCCAATCTAAAAATTAATGAAACATGCTTTTAGATACACAACTTTAATTATACATTTTTTCTAAAGAGTTGAAAAAGCTGAAAAATGTAGTTGAAAAATGTGTATGCAGATCAGACAAGTGCACAAATGATTCCTAGGGATGGATCATCACTCTTTAGGATTTTAATTAGAACTAAATTTAGACAGGGGAAACACAGGTTTCACCAATGAGGTGGTTTGGCCCACCCCTGCTAAAATGATTTATATTTACACGTGGGTGCTGCTACTGCCATATGATGTACAGTGCCTGCTCAAGAGGTGGACCATCCTTACATTTGCTGGGGCATCAAAATTAGGAAGCGGCATTCTGGCTGTAAGTGTAAGAAAACTATCGATGTTTTTAAAAACCAATTAATAGTAAATTTCACGTATCGACTTTTTCATTCACTAAAAATTTACAGTGGGTTACATATTAATGCTGTTTATATCTAAAAGTTAAAAGTATTTACAATCCTAAAGAAAACAATCATGAAAGTAATCAATCATATGTTTAATTAAATAACCATTTCGTATTTCAGGGGAGAATGGAAAATCACAGATTTATTTACACAATATACACATACACCACATATTACATTTACATATCACAATACAGTGGACTACTGTTAAGTGCTCACATTTGGGTCTGTATGGAAAAAATCTGGGAAGTGTGTTCTTAAATACAGCCCGAATTCTGAGCTCTATTTGAAAAATTTATTTTGGATTATAAAATTGTATCATTAATTGATAATTGTGGGTGCTTTGTTTTCGATTTCCTTTTCTAATCTAATTAAATTGGTGCAATAGACTTGAGGTCCATGTATCATTTACAACGAAGTGTGCATGGCATGTTGTCACAAAATTTCTCACCACATGACCTTCATTCAAAAATTGTCCCAATCTTATTGTTAGGTGCAGTCCACATCACCAACTAATTTTGACGCAAGTTATCATCAATTTTAAAAGCACACAAACAAAATGAATACTCATTGTTAATACTTTATAATTATATTTTTACTTCTTGCAAATGGAGGGGGAGTCTTGTCACAAACTTTACTTAATTACTTAAGAGAATCCAAGTGTGGGTTACAGGTGCGTTACATGGGGAAGAGAAGGGATTCAAAATACAGCAAATTTACGTTATGGATGGCCCTTTAGGCATCTTTGTCTTATCCACATCCCCTCGTAACCAACTCACCCTACGTCAATCATGAAACTCAAGTCACAAAACTCATTATTAGTTCCAGTGCATCTGGAAACAAAATTCTTACTTATCTGATAACAATGTTGATTTATTCAATGAAGCTGAATAGTCTCTCTTCAATATTTTTATTTCAGTACTACACTACAATTGAACCTACTTTAAAATAGAAAACCATTACTTCTTAATATATATGAAATAACATGCATGGCAAAAAATGTACACTTACTGCAATTCATTTTTAATATCAAACTCAACAATGGCTTTCCCATCAATTGGTACAACTTTCCGAATAGGATTTTGGAAAATTGGTTGGATGACACCAGAGAAAATATTTGGATAAACAGTTATTGTTGCTTCTCCTCTCACAGGCTTTCCATAAGTATATCTGAAAACACATATTTCATTATGTAGTAATTAACAAAGATTATTATACAATTGGGTCCAGAGGCTTCCAAGGTTTAGGTTTACTTACTTTGCATGTACAGTAGCAACAATATGTGAATCCTTGAAAGTGCCATGGGGAGGCACATCAACTGTGACCTCAAATTTGGGCAAAACATATTCAGCAACATGGAAAGATTTCTGGAATGTCTGATCTAAAATGGTGACAACAATTGACCAATCGCCAAGGACAGGCGACTCGGACAACTGGAGCTCAGCGCTGAACACTCCATTTCGTGGCACTGCCCGCTTCCATAGTTTAACTCTATTTCCTTTTCCATCCTGTATCAGAGCATAAAGACAGTCAAGACCCAGGTTCTTTTGATTCTTTCACATATAAATTACATACAAAATTGTAAAACTTGCAATACAAATAAAATTAAGAGCTTTCATGGCAGTAAACACAGATATTGTTGGTGATAAATAAAGTTATTGTGTCTGAGAAGATGTCTAAGTCTAGTAATAGTTTTACTTAAAATTGCTCTCCAAATAAAGAATGAGAAGAAATATTCTAGCACAAAATCAATATTAATGTTTTTAAGTATATTATTAAACATTAATGCTAATACCATGCTAATGCAGTCTCAGATATACAGACAGATCAAACACTAGTAGATTTCTCATTCAGTTTCACCTCCCAACAAAATGAAAATTAGTTCTGAAGTAATCTTCTAATAGACTGTGTGTGATTGCATTTGCTATCTCCATAGACACAGAAATTGAAGAGAATAATTATGTTTAAAAAGAAATTAAATCCTTAAGGGTTACACGAGAAATGCTCTGTTGATTAGCAATTTTAATGAACACGTCACTGTGTCAAAATAGAGAAGTAAATGATCAGAAAAACCTTTCCAAGCATTTGCCTTACTGGTACTTATAATTATGAGATGATTTTTACTTTCAGATCAGTGAAAACTGGCTGTTTAAAAGGAAGAGTAAATGAATTAAATATTATTTGTGTCTAAATTCTACTTAAGAATTATCTAGAATGCACTGAAGTTAAAAATATAAACATAATTGAATGAAATTAATTTACTGCCAAACATCAATAAGCCTCTACTTGAATTGTATCTCTTTAATAGGATGGCAACCACGAAGTATACAAGTTGATAATTAGATTAGGTAACTTATCAATTTCTTCATGGTTGCCATCCAATTATGAATTGTTTCTCATTAACTAAATAAATTATAACACTTTTTAAAACATGATCACTTTCAATTTATATATTGCTCAATCAACAAAAAATATTTGAATGAATATGGAGAAATTTTCCCTATTCTTGAAAATATTGTTGTAAAATAAAGGTGTTTAATTTGCCTAGGGACTTCCAAATCATGTTTGTTTAAAATTTGTACCATATTATTACAATAACAAATATAATAATAATAATAATAATAATAATAATAATAATAACAAATATAATAATAATAAAACAAATATTATTATTATTATTATTATTATTATTATTATTATTATTATTATTATTATTATTATTATTCTCTTTTAACTGCTGAAGTGAAATCACATATCTCAGAGGACATAAAGTATAAAGAAAGAAGATAAATACAAATGGTACTGGAAATAAAACTTAAATTAATACAAAATATTTATATTTGTAGGAAATGATGATTCCTTGATCAGCTTTAACACAAATATCAAATAATAATGTACATGATGGCAAATTCTAAATCTTTTTATAGTTTCATGAATGTACTTACTGCAATGTAAAAATCTAGAGCACTCTTGATATTTGGCTTCAAGTGGGTATTGAGGACAATGATTCGAAACTGCACTTTGTGTCCAGGCTTATAGATTGCTTTATCAGTCTGGATAAATACAGAATAACTCTTGTGCACATATTCCAAAGTGGTGGTGTTTTGGAATATAAAACCACCACTAACACTTTTTGTTGAAAGGTTATAAGAGCCAGGTCCAATGTCACCAATCTGCAAAGAAATATTAAAAAACATCAGCTCTCTCCATTGCTAGACACAAATCTAAAATAATAGGTGTTATCATAAAAACAAATACATAACTTTATTTTACTGCATAATAGACAAAACAATATCTACCTCAATTTCTACTTCTAAAAAATAATTTCTGCTAAAAGAGAGCAAAACAATTTTATACACAAGTGAAATGAAAAAAAATTATACAAAGTATTGAAATATTATAGTTTGTCCTTTCATCAATTTAATAATACTGTTGCCAATAAAATATTAATAAATTGACATATTTTCACTGTGGATGTTATATGTATGAGCAGCCCAATAAAATGTTCCACTTCCCCCCCCCCCTAGAAAATCGACTAATATCTTATCTATTTACGATATTTATGAACTTCATAACATCATTTTATGAGTATATTACAGAACATTTTTTCCACCATGGAAAGATTGGTGAAAGACAAAACAAAACAAAATTACAAAGTTTCTCCAAATGCAATGCAAAATTACATACTTGGAAGTTTGCAATTAAACTGAAATGAGAATAAACTGAGAATTGATTTAACAATTTTTTAATGACAGTGAGTTTGCTGAAATTGGGTCCTATGAAGATTTTAGCATTCTTTCTATTTACAAGGAAAATATTTTAAAAAAAAGAAAGAAGAAAAAAAAACAACATTATTTTGGAAGAAAAAAAAATTGTAAAATAAGGTTTAAAAGTGCCTTACTTTTAAGCAAAATTACCCCAAAACTAATATTTTCAAAATCATCCTTATATTTTTGATAAATCACTTTAATTAAAAATTTGCCTTTGAATGAATTTTATCTATATTATTAAGCTATCTCTAATTTTGATGTTGTAAAATGCGCCGGAAAAATTCAACTTTTGCAGTTTTCGAAATTTCAGATATCCACGAAAATGAGAAAAAATGTAAAGAAAAAACTTTGAGCCATATTTGGAAGAAATTATAAGACTTCATGTGAAGTGCCCCTAAAAATCAAAATATCATTTAAAATGTAAGGAGCAGCGACATCAAAGAGATCGATCTGGAAATATACAATTTGGTGAAAATTTTTCCTAAGTTTTAGTAACTCTACAAACCAAGTTTTCGGTATCGAGGACCACAAAACATGGCTTCTAACTACCCGTCGTGTTACACGAAGTCATTTACTACATAGGAACAAGAATTACCGATTTTTCGTTATCATGGACCCACAAAAACAATTTTTTCTGTGAAAAAATTCAGTTTTTTTCTCGAATAGACCAAAGTACTTTTATAAATAAAACTCTTGATCCATTTTCGGTTAATTATCTGTATTTTAGAAAATTGTGACTAAAGAAAGTAGAAAAAATTCGAAATTACAAATTCGAATTTCCCGCGCTTGTCTTGCTGAAGTCTCTCATCAGACAAGTGAAAAGTTAAGATGAACCAATACGCAATTTATATTAAATACGTACGTTTTTTAAGTATTAGTGATATGAATTTTGTGAAGTGCATTCCCGTCATTCGATGGAGTTGCAATCCCCATTTTGTCAGGCCGCCACATCTTGATGCCGAAACGAGGCACTACAACAGTACGCTTCCTCGCATTATTTCTAAATTTGCTATTTGGAAATACAGAGAATTCAACGAAAATGCGACCTGCGCCATTCTTTTAAGGGTTTCTTGTTTTATCTCAGAAAACAATTTAAACAAAAAATTGGTGCGGGTATTGCAAAAATTTATTTATTATAAATTGCATAACTTGAAGCAGAAATTGCACAAAAACTTTTTTCAAAAAGGAACACGGCCTTTTTTTTCAAAAAGGAACACGGCCTTTTTTTTTTCAAAAAGGAACACGGCCTTTTTTTTCAAAAAGGAACACGGCCTTTTTTTTCAAAAAGGAACACTGCCTTTTTTCAAAAAGGAACACGGCCTTTTTTTCAAAAAGGAACACGGCCTTTTTTTCAAAAAGGAACACGGCATTTTTTCAAAATGGAACACGGCCTTTTTTCAAAAAGGAACACGGCCTTTTTTCAAAAAGGAACACGACCTTTTTTTATAAATGTGAATATTAGAACAAATATTAAAACAAATATCTCTACCTTAAAATTTATAGTTCTGCAATGTTAAATTTTTCGTAATTTTCGAAAATACAGAGTTCGTCGGACATGAATGTATCACCAATTTTTTACTGTTCTTTGATAAATGTGATGAGAAAATTTAAGGATAAAATCAGGAGCCGGTTTTGAGAAAAAAATGTTTAAAAAATTAAAAAATACCTGTACAAACAAGTGTATTTCACCCAAAATTTCGTACAAACTACTCATATTTGCAGGAAATTGAACATGACCTTATTTCAAGACGTTTTTAAAGAACAGATTTATTCAGGAAAAAATATATTCGATATTATAGTTGTAAGAGGCTGAAAAAATTGAACTTTTGCAATGTTCGAAAAATCAGTGACTTCAACGAAAATGAGACCTGCACAATTCTCTTAGGTCCTTTACGCTATACGAGGACAAATTTTAATAGAAAGAAATTGGAGCCATTTTGAGAAAATTTTGAAAATGATGTTGAGGCTTCATGTAAAGTGTCCCCCATCCCCCAATCAAAATATCCATTTTAAACTCAGCGGGTCCCGTGTTCTTTTAAATCGGTCAGAAAATATCGATTTTGGAGAAAAAACGGCTAAACGATTTAGGTGCTAGCTTTGACCACAGGCGGATAGACAGACGTTTGGTCGTCAATCGATTTTTACTGCATGAAGGACCTACAAAACATGGATTCTGAGTACACAAAGTGTCAGAGGAAGTAATTTACAATATAGGAACACGATTTATTCACTTTGTTCGTTACCAGGGCTGACAATAAAAGTTTTTCTGTCGAAAATTCGCTGTTTTCCGGGGCATGATAACAATACTTCACTACAAACTCTTCTGACAAAGTAAGGGCGAGAAATTTTAGGAAATTCTGCGTCCTCTATGTATCCCCCAGAGCTGTCCTACATATTATTTTATACGCTGTATGTAGTAAATTATTTCATCCAACCAGGGCCAGATTTAAGTAGTGCGGGGCCCCAAGCACAAAATTGTGTTGCCCCTCCCCCCCCCCCCGAAAAAATAGCTCCATCTTTATTAAATAAAAAATTATTATAGTACAAGTACTTTCTGTACAGATACAAATGAAAACTGATAATGTTTTATAGAAATGTTTACTTGTGTTACATTTTTTTACATTAAATACATTTTACATTTTTTTCTGCTCTTCACTGCAGAATGGGGGCCCCCTGGTGAATGGGGGCCCCCAAGCAACTGCTAGTTTTGCTTGTAGGTAAATCCGGCCCTGCGTCCAACACGCTGTGTACTCATAGTCATAATCCACGTCTTATGGATACAGAAAAATCGGTTAACGGACACACGCCCGTCTCTGTCTGCCCGTCCGACCGCCCAACCGCCCAACCGACTTCAGAGGAACACAGGAGTCCGTACTGAAGGGAGTTACGGCGGGCAGAAGGCTGAGGGTGGTGGGGAGGGAACGAGATTCAGTACCGAGTACTAAAATAAGCAGTTCCATTAGACTCAAGCGAGTGAACTTCAGAACGGTTTGACGCATGCGTCGTTTCTGGCGGACCCGACGAGGAGACGCTGCGAGTTGGGTAACAAACGCATTACTCATTTTCTTGGATATACAAACTGCTTAATATTAATCTACGTAAACAAACGAACACAATTCAATAGTTATTAGAGCATTGTCCATCTTTAGAAAAATGTCTATCCATATCAGGCAGTAAAAGCCAAATTGCACTTGAACAATTATTTTAATCCACAAATTTTCAGTGGGTTCCTTAACTCCTTTAAACACCTTTTTTTACACTACATTCAACGTATTTATACTTCCTACTTTAAAAAAAAATACCAACCCGTCATAATATTTTTAACAAATCATACAACTAATTCAAATAAAAATATTTTTTTCTGCAACAAATATATTTGAAATTTCTGGCAGTAACCATCAAAAGTTTGTATTTAGATTTTATTAAGATCTTTCTAGGTATGTGACAATCTACCAATAAGCAACTTCACATTGCTTCACATTGTTGTGGACTTTTACGATGTCCACAGCTGAACGATTTGCAAGAAGTTCAATACCTCTAATCATGGTCTTTAAATCACTAAACCTTGTGATATGTATATATATAATTTTATATATATTAATATATATATATATATATATTATTATATATAGATATATATATGTGACATTTTGCTTTCGAATTCTATTCCCGTCGTCTTGCGTGTTTGAGGGCACTGCCCCATTCGAAGGCAGGAAAGGAAAGATTGCCGTCGCGTCTGTCATTCGCGTCGGAGCCGATGTCTCTTGGACGTTTAACCAGCGCGCAACCCCCCCCCCGAAACCATTTCCCTACGCTGGGTGACGTCCATCCCCTCCTCGACACTCGCAGCTCGCGAGCGAATTCTGGACTCCTGCGTCCGGATCGGCTCGCGGAGCCACTGAGTGGAGCAGGCCTGATTTAGACAAACTCGAGCCCACGCGAGTTTGAAACGGATAACATGATTTTTTGGAGTTCTTTATACGAAGCCTCAAAAACATTTTCAAAGTTTCCTCATAAACGGCTTCAATTTTTTCTTATGTCCCCCTCCCTCACGCACGTATGTAGTAAAGGAAAAGGCAAAAATGAGCTTGGAATGCGACAATGGCATTCCGCCCTACGAGATGGCAGCTGTAGTTCTGTGAATTACGTCTCATTGTTGGAACGTGATTTAGCTGCATGAAGCGCAGTTATAATTGCCGCCGACCTGGATGGCCGAGGGGGGTAGAGCGCGTGCCGGCGTTGCCAGACATACCAGGATACTGGCACTTCTGCTGGGATTTTAACAAAGATATCATGTACTAGGATAAAGATTTTAAGTATTCCATCATTAATGATGTACGATTTAATATTTATTTAATACTTTTTTATTTATTAAATTAAATCTAACACCAATATTACAAACATCTATGATGTTGATGAAATCACTGCCCTAAAAAAATGAAGCATAACATAAGATGTTTTGTCCCAGCAAATTCTATAATAGGAAAGGATAAAACATCTTGGTCTTCCATTTAGTTTATAGATCTAAAAAGAATCGATATCGCATCACGTTTAACGAATTTCCTGAGCGCGTTAAAACATGAAAGTTATAATATGAAAATGTAAAAATTTAAATCAGTTGATATTGGTACCAGGAATTTTAGTGAAAGTACCAGGAGTTTTGAAGATTGGTACTGGGTCATACATGTAATTCTCTGGCAACGTTGGCGTGTGTCGACTCAGCGACTCGGTCTGAAGGGTCGAAAGTTCGAGTCCCGCCGTGGCCATGGTTGTTTGTCTTTCATTTATGAGTGTTGACGCAGAAGACCTTGTGAATGTGCTGCCCACAGACTGAGAAGCTCTCCCTTGATGCTCTTCAATTTGTAATGAGTTTTACATAAAATGACTAAGATGTGCTAATTCAGAAAAATTGCGGTATACATAATATTATGTAATC